GTGATAAAACTAGTAAATCGTAGCTTATATGTCTGTATAATCATCAATACTGAGAGTGAAGGGACATTAAATTGCACGCAACACACATCTGGAAGTTAATATTTAGAAGCATATATTTTGCAGGCAAAGTCATATGTGAAATTAATAAGTAATGAAATTAATATAAATGCATCAAGATTCAAAAATCTGGATATAGGGAATAAAAAATATACGGGCTATTTTTTGTTCATGCCTCGTATATATACATACATATATATACTCAAATTCATATATATTTATAAAATTCTATGACAAAAGATAGACACCGTAAAAATAGTGTCTCGTTGCTTCCATATGAGGGCCTAATTGTTTTGTTATTATATAGTCTATTACCGTTATTATGGAATTGTTATACAATTGTTAAATTCTAGATTAACATAATAGATCCTCAAAGGACACACAGCATATATCTTGCAAAATTAAACATAAAAAGAGAAAGGAAAAAAAGATAAAATATAAAAATCAAAAAAAGTTCAAACAAAAACGAAGAAAAATTCAAAAAAGAAAAAAATAAGACAGAAGCTTGAAGCTTTTCTAAGTATATATACAAAATAGATAAGATTTCTACAAATATTTTTGAGGACCACTTAAAGCGGTACGCTGCTACATTATAAACAAATAATTCGTACCTGCCCAAAGAACGGATCTTATAATATTCTCTATACTTGTCTGTGGCTATGCACCATACTACGTTTCCACCGCAAATGATGGCGCAAATGATGAGTGGACAACAGACTAATGGACAATGCCCGCCAGCTCAAGCTCACAGTTTGCATCTTAATAATACAATGAATACAAATACATTGTACCAAACCAATTATACCCAGTACAGCCCAAATGTTCCTGGACACGGTAGACGTCGTACAATGCAGGTACGCGTTAAAATCTCTTGGATTTATTTTGAACAATATGCAAGTAACACATATATTTTGAACAATATGCAAGTAATCACATATATATCCGTTTACGTGTTGAAGATATTTTACACTTTGTTAAGTGGATATATATGTATATATGATAACAAAATATATTGTAAACAATGATACATCACAAATGTAGTAAGCATATTAAAGAAACTTGCGTATCACATTAGATATATAAAAATTTTCATATTATATACTACCGATATAAAAGAAATAATATAGTTATATCAATATGTAATGAAACTTTATAATATCCGAAATTGAATCTATACATAAAAAAGTAGTAATGAGATTAAAATTAACGATTCGATTTTTCTTTATCAAATTTGAATTAATTTTTGCAAATTACACGGATAAAGATAAGCATTAATATTTCTTATATTTATATATTGCTTTTGTTTCATCTTTTCATTGAAATATACAAATCTTATATAGACAGCGGCATTGCGGCCGTTGGATCTGTTACGGCAATTGGGGGTCGATATATCCTCATTACGGTACATGGACTATGCACAATTAAACAATAATTTTCCTACAAATTGGTTGAAGAGAATGAGCGCGTTTGATATACCGGTTTTAAATGTACCTCAATATAACAAACCCCCAAGCAATATAATAAAGAAACCAAACTGGTTAAATAAAGGAAGGTCGTACAAAGGAACCGTCACAAAAAATGAATCGTATAATAATAATAGTGGGGTTAATCCTTGTCCGTCAACACCAAAGAAGTACTACAACAATCTAACAGAATCATTCGATGTTATGAGTTTATCAGGAGGGCCAGATATAAAGTAAATATGCACTTTCAGAGTTATGTCCGCTATTTTACGTTTTCTAAATATATATTTATTTTATTGGGGAAATATTACGTTATATAAGAGAATATGTATTATTAATGAGAATTAATTCCTTTTCTGTTTAGCAAACATTCAGCAATCAGACCAAAAGAAATATCTTTAGAATCTTTTCTGGGGTATATACAAGAATATTATTATACACAGAATATTTGCCCACCAATTTCATTTCAAACATGTGGAACATGTATGAAAAAGCATGGTGTGTATCATTTAACAATTTCTGACTTGACAATTATATTTTTCTGTATAGGTATTAAAAAATAGAAATGTAACAATATATTTATTACGAATCGAACAACTTTCAGAGAGGGGTGGTTTTCCAGCGTTAGGCCGTATATTTCACAAAGGCTTTATAGATCCCGATAGATACCTTGCTGAATCTCACTTAGTGGAGGTAACTTCTGTGCCGGGCAATCTTGTCATTGATTCGATAAACTGGGACGATTTGTCGCGGCAGATTTGGTCGATGTTCGTATCAAATCAGCAAACGGAATCTACTTATAGAAATAAGATAATATTGTGGAAAAATCTTCAACGTCATGTTAGGGTAAGATACAAGATTGCAATTAGTAAGCGAGTGAAATATCGCTAAAACAATTTAAAGCATAATCTGAGAAGTATATCATATCGCGAACAATTTATTTATATTATTTATTTAAGGAAATGATGGCATATTTTTTGCAGAAAGCATATCGAAGATACGATTTGATTATGATAGGCTCAACAATGAATGGATTTGGTCTTGAAAGCAGTGATGTCGACATGTGTCTTTTAGTCAGGCATGAAAAAGTAGATAACAGGGAGACGGCCCTCATGCATTTAAACCAAGCATTAAGATGCCTCCAGAGATATAGTACGCACAATTCATAGATTTTGAATTTCTTTTAGACAAAGCACACACTCATTAGATACATCTTAACGACAAATCCTTTTATTCCGTCTTTCATTCTAGAGTCCATAGAAAATTTGGAAATTATACAAGCAAAAGTGCCCATCATAAATTTTCACGATTCAAGACAAAATTTAAATGTTGATATAAATTGTAACAGCAGCATTGCCATTCTGAATACGCATTTGTTATATTGTTATTCAAGAAGTAAGTTTATTGAATATGTAACATTCGATTATTGCCACAAAGTTCGATTTATTTTACAATTATCGCTTGTATAAATATTTTCACAGTTGATTGGAGGGTAAAACCGCTAATACTAATTGTGAAACTGTGGGCCCAATTTCATAAAATCAATAGCGCTAGGAATAATACGCTGTCCAGCTACTCTTTGGCTCTCATGGTCATAAGCTTCTTACAGTGTACGTATGCAATAAAGACGTTCATGTTTTCTGCTCCAATTCTGAGAATATCGATGTTGTTATTTCTCAGGTGGCGTCAATCCCCCGATTCTGCCGAATTTGCAATACCATACAAGTCAGTTTCGAAGCTTCTATCACGAAGATATTCAGCCCATCATTGAGGATATTCACAAGAAAGATTTAGGATCGGTATATATTGGTTCTTCGTTGTACCACAGCAGAAACACCCAATCTCTCGGAGAACTGCTTCACGAGTTCTTTAGATACTATATAAGTTTCGAGTGAGTGATATCTCAGATACAGACGATACGGAATACTTTAACTTGCATTTCGACAAATAATATATAACTTTTACATCGTTAAATCAGATTCGAACAGCATGCGGTATCTATAGAGGCAGGATATAAAATAAAGAAGGAAACTTGCCGTTCAGCGATCTATCCCAATAATAATCGCGGTCATTGGAAATATATAGGTATCGAAGGTAAAAATATGAATGTTTCTTTTATATTATACATAAAATCTTTATTTATAGAGTAAGTTAATTTTTATTTTTAACTAAATTAAATTAAAATAAAATTAGATTAACTTATTAAAGTTAAAAATTTATGATACAAAATCATGTGTATATATATATATATTATAATAGATTTATTATAAGGAAATATGGGCTGTTTTGTGCTTAAGATTCCATTTAAAGAAATACTAGCGCTCAGAGAGACGAAAAAAAATTCTGCTGACATTACTTTTTATTTTTCTTATTCCTTATTGTAAGCTGCTCGGACAATGATTGTAATATTGATGATTTATTTTAACTTATATAGAAAAGTTAACAAGTTAAAGTTCACGCATTTTAAATTAGTTTAAGTTAAAAGTTAATTTATTCGAAATTAAGTTGAATTAAAAGTTATTAACTCTTTAATTTAACTTTTAACTAATTAACCAATTATTATTGCTTAACTCTGATTATTTGTTATATTATCCATGATTTTCCTTTATATGTGTGAATCTCGAAAGCGTACTGCTTGCGCACGCGATACTTATCGAAATTATTGTGATGTTGTAGAGCCATTTGACCGCACCAATACAGCGAAAGCTGTCTTTGATGAGAAAATATTCTACAGGATTCAATCTGTAATTGGTCAGTCATATAAACGACTGGCCGGTAGTAACAATCTCAACAGTCTGTTTATCGAGATACCAGAAGAGCAATACCTGTCATCTGAATCGCATGAGCCTGATTCACGTAAAAGTATCTCGTGTTTAGTGCCTACTAGATCGGCATAAAAAAGTGTAATCATTAACTAGAACGTAAATAATATTTAAAAACGCTCTATTTTGGACGATTCTCAAGTTCTTTCGGATTGGATTGAAAAGGCATTAGAAACGTCGTTGGTTTAAAGGTCCGTGGATCTAAAATGATATAGCTGGATTCAAAGAAGCGGAATAAGGCTGTTTAGAGTGTTTTTTACACGATGTGTTTGGTATACCTTGTAAACTTTTTGAACAATTTATAATAATTGTGAGAGATTTAGCGGAATGACTCGTTCTGCGTTTCATTTTTCAATTTAATTTATATTCTTTAATTTTATAATCGCTTTGTGAGGGATTTCAGAGTTATTATTGACTGTACAGCATCTGGAAAGAAGACAGAATGATTTCTGCATTGACTTAACGCAGCTTAGACATGAGCTCACGTCTGACATTTCTTTCTCTGTCTCGGAGAGTAGCAATTGTACAAAAAAGCAAGTATTACTTCCTTTTTTTATATATATATATAATGCCGTTACTCTAGGATATTATTTAACTGTCCGAATTATATTTGTGATGTGTGGATTTTATGCGATCTATAGTTCGAAACAAATTTTTGATTGAGAATATGTTCTTGGAGAATAACATTGTATACAGGTAGAGTTACGTAACGTATTACAGAAAAAACTTTGACTTAGATCGGTATTCATAGTCGGACCTTATATTCAAAACCGTCTTAAGTTTATCTTCAGATGCTATACGGCTCATTTCATTGGCTATGAAACGTCTGAAGATGAACTTAAGACGGTCTTAAATATAAGATTCGATTATGAATATCGGCTCTAGTCAAATATCGCATCAAAATTAAGTCGGCTGTCTTCAATATTTTTCAATATTAAATATATATTTCAGATTAAAATATTATAGGTAAACAAATATATATATATATATATATATATATATATATATATATATGCATGTATACATATATATATATATGATTAATTCTCTTGTATTCCTCTAACACTTTTTTTTTACTTTAATTATATTTTCTACCTTTTTCCTTGTGTGTGGTTTATAATATTATATAAGAGATAATATAAGAAATCTTTTCTATATAAGATTACACTAGTTTCTTTTCTCAAAAATAGCAATTATAAAAAAAGCAAATAAGAATTCTAGTAAATAAGAATTAATAGCAATTATAAAAAAAAGTGCTGCTTTCTTGTTTTATAGATACTGATAGATATTTTTATGCTACTACTCTAAAATATTATTTTAATATTAGGCGCATAGATTAATATATGCATTAATTAATATATGGTCATTAACTTGAAAGTGAACTGCATT